ATTTACACACAGTCCAGCAGACCAAGATATTTCAGTACGCTGAGTGCCGCTGAAAATGTGCGTACTTCTGCTGCTCATTAGCCCATGCATATTTCAGCTAGGCAAATTCCCACTACTCTATTCGAAAATGAACCCTGCTTTCTCTAAAATTGCCAAAGGGCTCTGGAGAATCCTGTTCGAATGACGATGGATGGTGTCATCAGCTGTATAAAGTTTTGTAAGTTATCTCTTGGGGATACATAGTCTCCAGTTTCCAGTGTGTCGCGAATCGCGCGTTTATCATTTGCACGCTCAAATGGCCATTCGTAGATACACTAGAGTTCTCGACATGTGTGATTGACAATCAGGTTATAGATCAGAAATAGGCAGTCCAAAATGGTTCTGTTGTACGCCGTCTGAATAAGCGTGAACAAATGATTGCGAATCTGTTTGCACACACTTTACCTCATCTTACCAATATCAGAGTATCACAGACAGATGACAAAAGGCAATCCGTTATCTTGAGAGTTCCTTCATGTCCTGTCTACTGCTCGTCTTGAGAATGCTCAGGGATATTGAATAAGGAGGGAATGGTCTGTCTATACACTACACAGAACTCTGTTTGAGCAGCAAACTAGCCGCGGCGTCCTTCCTGGACGTGAATCTTACAACTCACATTATGTGGCTGGATCCGGTTAAATTTTGTCTATTCGGGGTAAGTTTGATCCAACTAGACAAGTTACGTCTACGGAAGTGTTGTGACTTAGTGGACGATCATGCAACTTTGTATCGGTCCCTTGGCTTCCTGCTCCGCCCACTATGGTATATCAAAAGGCACAGTAGCTCTACACAGCCCTTTATGGAGACAAAGGAAAATTAGTACAACTGTATTTATAGGATAGTCACAGTGTGTGTTCCACAAGGTCGTACCAGAATCTCCGTGAGGGGGCGAGAAGCGTCGAGTCACAGGTGCTTGACTCGGATTGGCTGGCATTCTGAACAATCAGGGCATGTCTTTGTTTGGCCCGTTTCCTACACGTGACACATCCGTCCGAATGATGTGATGTTCGTCTTTGTAATGTACTACTCATAAGTGCTGAAGATCCATCGACAGCCCACGACCGGTTTCGCCCTTCTTGGGGCCCCTCGGGTAGGCGCAGTCCCCGGGTTTCCGTCAACCTTATGTTCTACTTGAAACCAAATTGCACGAAATTAGCGACTGTACACTCATTTGCAAACTAATTTGGTTCTTTCGAGAGACTCACCTGGAGCCCAACTGAATCTCTCGTTTGTGATGTTCTCAGGCAACTGAATGTGCTGCTGTTCGGTTATTAGGAACGGCTGGTCTCCGAATAGCAAGGGTGCTCGAAACTGTGTGTTTGTAGCATGATATCGGTTAGGGAATCGAATTTAGCTACAGAACGCAGCACAGGTTTGATGAATTCTTCCCGCACGACGTCTTGATGACTTAGTTGCATTGGGTAGTTTTGGCTAAATATGGCCTCTCTTTCTCGCACATGCGCAGTTTCTCATTTCACCGCCTGAGGTAAGCACATCCGCGAGTATCAACTGCTTCGTCGTTCTCAATCACTTCAAGCATTTACATAAATTTGTAAAGTCGACCTTCATAGTGAGTTGATATGGACGCTGTTCCGTGCGGGCACTAACACAGACACAACGTTCACTGAATGGTGATGAAATCGAAATACATTAGGAAGAACTACCACTGTATGAATGTTGCACGCACCTCCAGTGCTATCGAATACCGTTACAAACGCTTTGACGAACCTCAGGTGAACCTGTTTTCACTGGCTGCATTACCATTTTTCCAACAACCGGCCAATTAGCTGTTAGTTAACAACTCGCTTTGCTGTTGTCTCTTCTTTAAAGTAAAGCCCGTGCACCATTTGTTGCTGATGATATCAGTACTGATTTCTGTTGTCTATTTTTTGTTCTGTTTCGAGTTTCTAGCTTTTGTAAGTCAACAGACTATGAGAAGCGTTGAAAGATGCCGGGACTTATTGCCACCGCTGTATAGATCCCTTACAAAATTGTATTTTATAGACGCCATCAGCTTCGGGAAAAAATAACTGAAAACAAAACACCCCATTACGTGAAATCGTGTGGTCGAATAGACACATATTTAGCTCGCTTAGGCACTCTTAGGCAGATCATAAGAGTTTTCAAGCCCTTACAAAATTGTATTTTATAGACGCCATCAGCTTCGGGAAAAAATAACTGAAAACAAAACACCCCATTACGTGAAATCGTGTGGTTGAATAGACACATATTTAGCTCGCTTGTATCCACTCTTAGGCAGATCATAAGGGTTTTCAAGTGTGTGGATATGCATGTGTGGTTCATTCGGGGGAGGGGGGCTTGGTTGGGTTGCTGAACTGGGACCCGCATAAAAATGGAGTTTTCCCTAAGGGTGCGGTTACGCTCACCGCTATCGTGTAACACGTATGGTCACGCACTCAATCCGGTTCCTTGAACCACATGCGGGTTGCTTTTTGACGAGTTCGTTGTGTGTAGGACCTGGTGTTGTGCAATATTTGACCGTAGGTTTTTTTCAAAAACCAACTTAGTAGTTCAACACTGATATCAACTTATGGTTGAATGGAATGTCGAAGTTAAAGGCTGTTTCAAAATAAACGGCACTTAATATTTTACTTCTGAACTTCGAATTTCGAGGAACCGAATCTGCCGGTGACTCATACTCATCTTTGTATAGTCGTAAAACAGATGCATCCGTAACTTCCACGTTAGTTTGATCTGTTGGTGGAGGAGGCGAAATACACTACTGTCTCCGCCTCCTCTCCAGTTACTCGATTTGTGAATTTCTTCTTGATCATGGGTTTCACAGCATTTTCAGCCATGTCATATGCATTTTGGTTTCCTCCGAGGAGCATCGGCGCTCTTCATCTCCTCACCCGCAGCAGGTGATTATTATGGACATTCCCGAAGCCGATTCCTTCGGATAACTAGCATTCACATTGAACTATGTGACAAAGTGGTTTTAAGTTTGCAATATGAAACCAGAAATACGATGACGGGCATCAAAATCGGATACCCAACGATCGGGTGCTCCCTAGACGCGATCCAAATGACTTCATCCTGAATTTCTCGTTGTGGTAGGATACCTCAGAATTGCAAACAAACTGTGAACCTGAAATTTGAACTGAATTTTGCGGCTTTATTATCACACACTAAAACCCACAATGATGACAAAAACACGTTTTTGACAAGTCACATTTCGTAGGCAGCAGCTGTCACCAACATTCGTAATCTGGTAAGAATAAGAGCCCCTGTCGAATTGGTGCACGCTTGGTCTGAGCTACAGCTTTGATCATAGGAAAAATCACCTAAGATTCAGGACGTATCGATCAGCCACGTCCTGTGGCTTTGCACGCAGCTAGTAATTTTTGTCAAGGCAACGCCATTTTTGCTTATCACTACTTCATCAAAGACCGATATGTGAATGCAGTAGGTATCGTCGAGCCTTTAAACGAGAACAGACTGTGAAGTGACAATTAAAAGGGGCTTTAATGTGGAGTACTATGGATCACTGGATTCCACCCAGAGGCTAGGCAGCAAATGTAATAGGTTCAGAGAGGAACTTCGTCATAAAGAAATAACCGGTACATGTAGGAATTCGAAGTAGAATAGATGGATAATGGAAACAGAATGAGAACTAATAGATATTTTGCTCAATCAAGCTCATAAGCCTCCATCATAACGTAATGCAGAAAGTTAAGGAAAACAAAGAATGTAGAAATACAGATGAGCTCTCATGAGATACAGTTCTGTTTTACTCTGTCAGAGTCCCAGAAAAATGTGAACGCAAATCCTATATCTTGACCCTGGCAAAGATTTGCAAGGGGATGTTTCTGGTTAGCGAGAAATGCACGACATCTTTCCAGCGAATCTATCGAGCTACTTTATAGATGCAGTCCAAGCCCTGGCTTCAGGCAGTGAAGTCACATCCATCGAGATCTTCGGTATGCAGCATCTGAAATATCATTCTCACGACCAGTTTTGCCAGTAGCCATAGATCAAGCGTTAATCTATCAGTTGGGGTCCTTGGCGGGCTATTGAAACGGTGCACCATCAGCGTTGAATCCTTGTTCGATGGTTAAAACTACAACTAGATCGATGTAGTCCTAGTAAGAAGCCCACTGAGACCGGACCTGGCCAACAAATTTGCACCTTAAATGGGAAGTTCCGTAGCAGACACAAAACCCATTTTTACAAAAAGTGTGCTGATGCTATCTTCGCTGTCTTTGACTCAACAATTTAGCTAGAACAGATGAATAGAAAACTAGGTGCACTGCAAAGCATTCACCTTTTAGCTGTTGAATTTTGGTACTGTATGCGCTTTAGAACATTACTTGTTCCCGAAAACCAAGTTTTTGTCTGCTTTTGTTGCTCCACTTAAACCACGACTTCAATAGGAACATCTGATGAAGTGTCGAATGAAAAGTCATTCCAATGGACATACTGTACACCACTACGCTGTGTCGTAAGTTTGCAGAGATGCTGCTGAATTGTCCACTGTCGAACGAAAGCCCCACTACAGCTTATTCTGGTTGAATGCACATAGTACTTCAATAGCAAATGGTCAGCGAGTTCGTAATTCCTGAAATAGGCGGTGGAGTTTAGCAAAAGACGACTGAGGATGAAGTCAAATCGGCGCTTACCTGTACTGCTTACATTCATCGACCTGAGTTTTACATGTGATTCTTCACGTATCTTCCGGGTGGACTGGTAGCGCCATTTGTCGGCCCACTGTCTGACTAGATCTTGACTATTGTGGTACGTACAACGGCAAAGCTGTACACCTGAACCTCGAACTGCGTGAATTTCTTTCGCTCGATTCTGAAAGTTGGATCCACACATCAAATTTTATCGTCTTAGCCTAGTCGTATAATTTAAAACGCCCAGTCATTCCCTTCAAATCCTCCCGTTACACTGTTTTGTTGTGCTTATCATTACCACCTTTCTAACTTGATATTCCACAGGATGATGGAGTCCAGGCAAGAATAGATACGTGGAGAGAGCGCATAAACGACAAGTAAGTTTAGAAACCTGAAATGTAATCACCATGACGCAGTCCCACTAGCTAGTGGACACTTTACAATGACCATTGCATATTCAGTTGTTCCCTTGACTAGAGTTGTTTAAGTCATCACACCATGAAAATAACACCAGTATTGATCCCGATACTGTCACATATGGACAACAGCTTACAAGATAACAAATATCTAAAACAAAGAACGAAGGAAAAAAGCCAGCTGTAGATGCTCACAAGAATCTAAGCAGCGAAAACTGACATCGTTAGTCATCAGTTATGGGTCCTAACCCGAGTCTTATTCAAGCTGCGGCTTATCGTTTACCTTCTTAAAGATTTCTCTTAAATCCGCCCTGAACAGTGTGCACACTTGGACAGGTGCCCGTTTGAAGACAAGGGCTGAATTAAATTGATTCTCAACTTTAACCTCCAGTCCACGGTCGTATGTTCATCCCGCCTGCAATTTATGGTTTCATGCCTGCAAATATATGGTTTCATCGAGGAACACTCTCGTTCTCACATGCGGGAAGGATTATTTCACAAGGGGTTTGATTGGTGTTTTTAATAGTATCTTGGTAAGGGATGTATAGGAATCTAAATAATTTTCCTCTCCATAGAATTCAAAGGTTCAAGGGTTTTTTTCACCCATATTTCAACCTCAAGAACCTCTTAGTGTAGCAAAGCAAGTTTTTGGCTGGTAATCAGACAACAAAGAAATCAACAGCCACCTGACCCGATATGCCGACATGTCTAACCCACACAGCCTTCTAGTCCTCTAGACGGGAGGTTGGAACATTATTGGCAATCAGTTTCTTTATTATTCAAAAGTCGACTTTCGATTCATCCGGTAGCCTTTACACCGTGAAATAAGCTGACAACAGGCTCCTATGACATGATTTTTATTGACGTGTGCTGTTTTTTGAAACAATTATGCAAGACCCAAGTACAGTCGTTGAGTGAACCTCCCCATCTGTTCCCTCTCGATCCTGGTTGCAAAAATCTAGTGTTTGTTTCCGCCTGGGTTGGTACTGTTCTAAGCTGTTAGGTCTTAAGCTTGGTTTGCAGCTGGTGACCATCGGTGTGCAATTTGTTTGGTAAAGTCTATGGAAGCGCCCTGTAAATGTGCCGTTATTCACTAGGTGTTCGCTGTACCCAATTTCGCCCCAATATTCTGTAGTTCTGTTACTCTCAGACGTAGTTTTTAAGATATATTGAGCTCTAATCTTGTCCAGTTTGGATGGGATATGAGTGCGCGAGTAGGTAGAGTAGGCGCTACTGACGCTCCTCTGGGCAATGGCGAATACCTGTTACAGCCTTTTGCTAACCGCAGACCGTGACTCCATGGTGGGGAACATGTGACATAGTGGAGGAGAATGAAGGATGCTTCTGGAAAATATGGGTGACGTTGGTGGTGTTATCCTTCCAGAATGGGGCCCAAGTGACCCCTGTGCGGCGTAGACACGGTATGACTGTTAATTGATATCAGTGTCACTCGTGTTTCCAGTTTCTATCCAGATTATTCAGCTGATTATTGGGGGTTCGAGCGACTGGTGTGTGGTAGTTCGGTCCGACGTTCCACTGGCTGTTCCACTTTTTATCTTCCTTATTATATGACTGTATTCAAATATAATGACGTGGCTCTACAGCACTGAAGCACCAGCGTCCTCTGGTGTTGTTGCTAATGTCGATGATGATGATGATGATGTGTTTCTAGGTTACGTTATCCTCGACTGGATTTCCCAAAACTGGCCAAATCATTTACTTTAGATATGGTGGCTAAAAGATTGTTAACCAACATGCACTATTTCAAGGCGTTACTTAGTCTGATACATATATAAGGGTTGCGCTCCTTCTCTTTAATTTCTCTTTGGCAAGAGCTTCTATACAACTCTCAGAAGAGAAGTGGAAATGGTATTTTCTGACATTCTCGTCATTGAAAAAAACCAAATGCATGATGGGATACTCGTAACCGGCTTTAAGATTACCAAGAAGAACTAGATTCCAGTTATCCATATATGAATCCGCGAAGTTACACACACATGCTAATAATCTTTCTGGAGAGTGTTTTCGACGAAATCATCTTTTTTCAAGCAAAACTTGACTGGGAATACAAAATACTTGATCCTCTGTGAGATAAAAATGTCAGCAGAGAGTGGTTATTCCTAAACACATTCTTCGTGTTTTTTTCCAATACCCACGCCTCCTTTAGTGAAGCTAATTAGGATACCTTTGCTAAGTTTCCGGTTTTGTTCGTCGTTATAGTTGTTTCTCTTTCCGTGGTGATACAGCCATCCTCGCAGACCATGTTTTCGAAATTTGGTTTTCGGAAACAGCGATGGTCGAACATTAATCTCCACATACATAAACACAACATGGTCGTTAGGCGATCGTTTTTCGTGAACATAAATATCACCTTATAAGAAGTCAACAGAAAGCCATAAAAACATCAAACCTAACAATTATCGAACTGGAATTAACCACGCTACTCTATATTTCTCCCTACTGTCTCACCCACCAGTACTGGTCCAAACAAATCGTTCCGTTGGCATTCAATTTGACTGGTGTGTCTACGGTAAAAAGCGATTTCACAGGCTGATGGCGTTTGGAGGAGATTTGATTATTTCCAATAGAATTTTCGTCCGGATTGCGAAGCCATTCTACGCTGATTTCGCAGATCATTCTCTCTAGGCAAATATGAGCTACCGGAACGTTGTACAGAAAGGGAATTATGGCATCAATCACACAACAGCTTCTCAATTTTAATGTATACAATTTACATATTTTTCTAAATTACATCCACAGTACGACTGTCATCCACAGGCATGTAACTGCGAATAAAAACCAACTATATGGTTTACTATGACGGTCACTATCTTACAAATCAAGTCTACCCGTATAGTTTTACGGTTAATTGCGCTCACGTATTCAGACACCGCAAACCTGTGTTTCAACGATGAGCAATTAAAGCGGCTCAGAATGGCAGATCAAGCAGAGTTGTCCATTCACTTACATGCTAGGGTAGTCGTGCAATGGACACCAGGTTCATTTCGTGAAACCCAAGACAGTTACAATAATACATGATTATGAAACTGAACTAGGTTTGTTCAGAAGCCGGGTGACTTTCTACTCGGACCTCATTTCTGGGTTCGGTGACTGGTAATATGGACTACTAACTTATGATAAATCTGTCCTCAGGAGTGTTCAGCTTTATTGGATCAGGCACTCACTTTTCCACTCAGACAGCTTAAATACCCTTAACTTATTCAAGTGGTCGGTCTAATTCCACAAAGATCAGTCTTATTCTCAGTACCGTCGATGATGGTGGTGATGGAGTTCTTACGAACAAACACGAACCATCACTCTCACTGTCGGACATAGCAAAACGGATGCATCTCGATCTTAGTTCTTACTTGGTGGAGCAGGAAAAGGAATTTCTTAGTGCCAGTCCACTTCAGATTTTGAGCCAGACAGCCTGGAAATGACCATACTGATTTCGATTGGCTACTCACCATGCAGCGTTTCTATCCAAACACAACGAATGCCACGCCGACACACTCCCGAAAGTATGTCACATCAATGATCGTCAGCCTATTCATGACTGGCGTTAGCTGGCTCGATCTTTTGTCGCATGACCTCGAAAAAAACACTATTCACGCGATAACATTTATCATCGCGCTGCTCCTCATTCACCTTAGATAAGGCTCTGACGTCATTCCGGAATTTAAACACTTTAGTGGGGTACACTCAAGTCCATTTGAATTATATGTGAAATCGAACAACAGTGTGTTTCGCTTATCAGGAGATACGTCATTCTACGGTCCTCTTAAATCCGTATTGACAACCTCGTCCATGTTGCCATTCTCCGAGGAGAGCATTAGATCTTTTATAGTTTAATGGGGTTACCCGGTAAGATAATGGTCATGGTGGATACTGTTGTGGAAAATGAACCTAACTGACGACAACAACAAAAGGACTGATGTAAAGTGGTGTTTGTGGAAAGTGAAAAGTTGAAAAATACTGAACAAATGAGCTTCATAGCACTGGACAATTCAACGAAATCACACATTTCCGGAATGATATCATGAATTGAAAAAATCCGGGTCCATTTGTGAAAAAATATTTTCATTCGGGCTATTAAACTTTCACCCGCCTCCCAATCGGTGTTGTTCGTCTTTGTAAAACGATATTACTCTTCGTTTGATTTTATTCTTGTTTGCAGGCATAAGGCTCTACTCTATCTCAATTTCATCGAAGCTGTCACTAATGATGTGCTTGCTCGGGGCATATTCACAGACAGGTAGGCTTTGAAATTATGTTCAGCAATCTAGTCCAACTTTCATTTGCTCAGGAATCTAAATGCCATAATATCAGAGCACGTTACACGCAACCAATTCAAAATGAGCAAGGTGGGTTTTGTTGTTTTCGCGTGCCAACCAATTTGCCCTTTGTCAATACTTCTTGACAAGTTTTACTTTATTTGGAGGTTTTAAAATGAGTTCTTCCAAGAGGTGACCAGGGGCGAAATGATTAAGGGTATGCACAGGATGCTGGTGGAACGCCTGGTACCCGAAAAAGTGTACTAATGTCTCTCATCGCTAGTATACAGTGGTACCATGCCCGTACGGAGATAGGAAATTAAATCCGGTGGATTACATTATTAGGCCCTTTGGGGAACTTCCGCAATGTTGCCGAATTAGACAACATGCATTTTTACGTTAATGCCCCTTGTGGATACCAGCTGTTTCATTCGTACGCTTTGGCACATTATTCTAACCCATGTTACTATTTGCTTGTATTGTCATGCTATCCAGTTGCGCATTTTTTATTAGCATGTATTTAAATGTTCAGTAAGGTCGACCAGGCAATCAGATTTGACAAACCCACTTGTACTTCTCTCTCTCATGATCCCCAGATGGAACTTTCACTTCTGCTTGTATAACCGAAGTGTATAAGAAACTAACCTCTGCAAAGGGTAATCATCACGGACAAACTAGCTTTGGGTCTCTTCTCTTGGATATACTATCTTCGGAGGTGGTGCTTGCGACTCAGCATTACTGCGACCAAAGAAAATCTCAAAAAATTGTGCGGGATTCCAAAAGTGATATGCAAACAAAATAATTTGGGGTCTCGGACTACTGATATATATAAAGTAACTCGTACTGTGTATTTAGAAACTTAAACTCAGGGTTCGGCTGTTGCTTTAAGGCAGACTGCTTGGGTTTCTGATTAGCATCCGATAACTTTATATATATATACATATATATATATATATACGGTTCGATTTTTCGTTTTGAGTTTCAATTTGGGTACACCTATTGGAATTTTCACTCATCCAAGTTTTTCTGAGTATGGACGATGTTATATCACTGTTAGATTAGTATCGCTTAATGAAGAAGGCTCGCGATACAGTGCACTGCCGCCAAAATCATCTTAAAAATAGTTGTCATTCAATGGTTTGCTTATATTTTACCAATTTCGAATAATTTCAAGGTCACACTGCTGGTGTTTTGCCACGCAAACTTTGCATAAGAAGAAAATGCTGATAGCACGGGTTGCTATGATGGTTGTGGGTTTGTTCGCCAAACTGGGCAATTTGTTTGCAAACGTTTCATCACCAGTCCCCATCAGTGCGTTATGATTTGATGTGCGTTGAGGGACCTCACCCTAAGCAAGCTTCAACTGTACAGTGGTATATATTTTTACGCTTTAAATCTACCGTGAATCAAAGGATTAATTGTATTCTGCTTTCAAGTATTTGATTCATGGTGCAGTCCGTAATCAATGAAATTGTGGGTTAAACAGTACGCTATACGACGCCACCAGCTTACGTCATATGCGGGCTTGTGCAAACTGATTTTCTGTCTAGACGGGAAGATTTTCTCTACCGTCACTGGCCTCGATATCCGTCATCTGTCACCCAATTCTGATTCGTCTTTTATTGCACACGGAGGGGCACACTGTGTGTTATTTTGGCCGTACAACACTTATTTTATTATTAGTGTCATTAGATTGCAATATCGCCTCCATACCCCCATTCAAAAGCTCCAAGTGGACGCTGACGCATCACAGAGACGCAAAAGCATTCCTAACTTACTGACGAATAGAATTATTTGTCCATTATAAAAAATTCTCTTTCCTCACTCGTTTGATCCTATATGTTGGTTCACGCTGCTGGCAATTCATCCTTGTAGTGTAGAAAGAACAATACAACTTCGTCGTCTGAATTCATCGAAAACACCCGCTGAACACACCCTTCTACGTGTGGTTCTCCTTCTAGCCTGGCCATAACCTTTTCAGGGTATAATGCACACTCACGTGACTCTCGTTTGAACAGTCATCCTCCCGTTTTGATGCAATCATTCTAGTGAGTTCACACCAAAGGCGGGGAAGCACTGGGCCCGAGTTTCGCTCTTATTAGTGCTCATCAGCGGTGCACATCTTTGGCCGTGTCGGAGTTTGAGCTCCACACATGAATGGTCGCAGTGTTTTATCTACACAACCATTAATCCCAGTGAAGGCCTTTGTAACTAACAACCCAGTGTTTAGGAAGTTTGTCTTCACTTCAAAGTTAAAACTCTTGCGGAAACAACACATCAACGTTTTTTAAACAGTTCAATTGTCTGTTAATAAACGAGTCATTAACTAGTTTTCGACCCAGATAAACACAAAGACCAGAAGGACAGTCATTTACACGGCGTGAAAATCTTAAAGTGTCTTGAATCCGTACGCTGAAATTCGGTTTCGCACACAAGCATCATCAACGACAAACGCATTTGTCAGTAATATCATTATTAGCAATATTGACAGTTCTACGGATGAAATGCAATGTAAGGCACGTTAAACGAAAGAGATCGTGGTCAGTTTGGAGGTCTCCATGAAAAAAACGCAAGTACAAATAGGCCTCTGAGGCTTCCACTGAATGTATGCATTTTAAAATGAAGTATGAGTATAATATCAATTAATGGGGATCATATCACTTATGCAAGTGTCCAAATGTACGTCCAAACGACACATGTGGAAATTCTATTCAGAATAAACTCTTCGGTTCAACCATCACAGTATGAGACTGCACAAGCCTTCCAAACAGAGAAGCACGCTTGGCGTTGTCAACGCACATGTCATGCACAATTGAATACTGCAGTGGAATCAGGTTACAGTGGGCCTGATGCATGAAATCCTGGAGAAACATCGTCGACTGGTGTGGAACAATGATTGGACTGGAACTCCGGGTGCAAAAGGTTCCATATTTAGTAACCTAGACAACTTGCATAAATTCGTACAACTGTGGGTGCGAGGCATGTCGTCTGCGATTTCTACACCATATTTGTTATCAGTATCCGCTTTTTTCTATTTTACCACTAGTCCGTCTGTGGTCTGTGGGCAGTTTTACATGATAGGTAACGGAATCACAAACTGTGGCATCTTTGACACATTGTCGTTAGTTGCTACCTGACAGCCATCGAAAGGCGTATCTTGAACAATCGGTTTCCCGGCTCCAGCAAATATTTTGCGGAGTCGAACACAGTTATGAGTTTTCGTTTATTTTCTCATGAGTAACGAATAGAGTGAATATCTGTAAAGAAGTATCGGTTGAAACACTGAAGCATCTATTCCCCAAGCCATTCTCACGGTGGCAGACGTCACTGGTAGAGGGCGCACTGTTCCTCATGGGACTTTCAACTGATCTAAGGTGTAGTGGAACGGAATAACACATATTTCGCTCATCAACACAAAGCGGAAATCTCAGGTTGAAAATTATCGTCATCTTGCGGTGCATCTTACTCTAATATAGGCAAACAGTTCGGAAGAACCTCGAGAAGCCCTCGTTTCGGCCATCAAAACTAGATACATTTAGGTCGATGGCTGTGTCACTAAATGTAACATAAAATCTGGTGTTCCATAAAGCCCCTGGCATACAGATGTTCAGTGAATTAAGGCAGCGCTTCTGCGTCAAAATTCACGCCACTGCGCCCTGTGTATTTGTGAGCAATTTTCGATTTAACAGGAAGTGTCACGTGGATGGTTAGTCTTGTACTGCTCTTCCTTAACATGTGGTTACTGGTTGAGTAATGACTAGAGTAATGACGAATTGCTCAGATACTCATGTGTTGTGTCCCTGTTCTTGGGGCCGCTCAACAGAATAAACACCCTGTTTAACACCGAAGAACGATCGTTTCAGAAGGGTTTGGTAAACAACAAACCCCTCTGAAAGAGATGACTTCCCAATCGGTCACAAACAGTCCGATTGACCGAAGAAAGATATTTGTATTCTCCACATCGGATCACTTTTCTCCACCGTTTAATTTAATTGTTGCGGTGTAATCTGCTCTACTTACTTCATGCTAGTCAAAATAGATGGAATATTGAAAACAAGCCAGACCTGGTATTGACCAGCGTCCCTCACAATGCTAGCAGATCAGAGGCCCAAACAGATGTATGGGCCTTCTTCATGTCGCTGGTATGGACTACCGACCTTGACCACATTTTCAACTTCAGCGACTAATGAGCAGTTATCTGCAGTTGCCTGGGGGCCTGAGCGCTTCGTTGTTCAACTTGTGTGTGTGATCCACCATAATAACCGATAAATGGTGCCAGTGCGTCGCCGCCCTCACAAACGACGTTTGTCAGTGCCCTGAACCAGAGAACAGTTTGCGTGCACGTCTGTACAAGAGTTAGCATGCGGAGAAACGCGTCATAACTAACCTGACACGGTCGTCGCAAATGTCTCACGCACATAGAGAGGAACTTCGCTCTATAGTGCTGGTTTTGCCTAATTGGTTGATTCACTAGTTTGGGTTGAATAGAACGAGATCCGATTTCACAGGTGCTGGCTGGACCGACGGGATCGTGCAACCGTACCTTCCACAGCCATTCGGCTCCCGAAGCGACGGAACATATTCAGACTACGTTCCGGTGGATCGAAATTGGTTCAAATGCTCACGAACAAAATACTTTCCGTAATACAGGTGAGGATAATTACATTCACCAACAATCTGTATCTAGGTAAATCGATGGATAACATCGTTGATTTGCTTTTGAAGGACCCAGGTCCGAGTTTGGCGCCTTGTTATTGGTTGAAATTAAAACGTCGTACACGTCGTTCCTCAAAAAGGTACCGTGGGCAGTTGTCCACGAAAAGAGATGCTGTTACCCTGGGCTGATCACATTCTACTTACACTTGTTGCTTTAAGTATTCCAGAACTTTTTCACCACGCTCCAGGATTCTGTTTAACTTAGAACAGTGTCCTGTAATGGCGATATCCTACTCAAACAGACATTAGGAACAAAAGCAATAGCGCGTAAGCAGAGGTATGTAACATCACAGACGGACAAAGTCGTGATATAAACCACCATGTGCAGCTCACCTTTAGAGTGAATAATAGGCACAGGAGAACCGGCGGGGTCTGTCCCATGGTTTTTTGTCCGGAGCTTGAATTTTACCACAAGAGTTCTTCGGAGCTGGATTGTCCTTCGTGGTTCTGGTGAGTTTTAACAAGGCAACTGCACCGGTTGTGTCCACTCACATTACCCCTTTTTAAACAAGATTCGACACGAATATTATGCAAACACCATAACAGAAGTCATACTTACCAACGAGGCTTATCGTCACACAAAAACCTGTCAATATCGCTTTTATAATTGCATTAAGGATGTATTTTCATCTCAATGCTAGTTGGTCCGATAAAATCATGAACAAACCTCCAGTAACGGAAGAACCTCTCATGTTGAAGGGCACACTTCCTTTGCTTTTCCTGCCCAATACGGTACGTAAAACCAAATGGTTTACGCTACAAGGAGAAACAGATATACGTACATAGTATGTTCCAGGTATACGTTTACTTCCGAGATCTTCAGCTATATGATGACTGGACGTACCATAGGGAAATGAGGCACCTTATCCAATATCATGTATAGTATAGTCATACCACACCTTGAAAAAGGTGTAGTGCAAGCAAAATATAAGAAACAGCTTTCGTTGCATTATTAAATTACGGCACTGCATCAAAGGAATGCGTGGCAATAAAGCTGTACTGGTTCTGAAAGTTTCTTAAAGTTTCGAACATGATGGAAAGCAGGAAATGACTTCCTTATCTGGAGGCAAACAACGCCATCTCCTCAATTCGGTGACCTCTGGCCTGATTGACATTGCGCTTTTATTCTCGCTTTACGTATAAATGACTGAGAGTCACCCAACTAATAAAATAGGGGCCGGGATGGCTCAGTGGCTAGAGCGCGAATTTACTGAATGGAAGGTCCGTGGTTCGAAGGTAACATCTGCCTTTCGACTTGCCCTGTTTAAGATTTGGCAGCCTGGCAGTATCCCAGTCCTACTGTTTCCTTCTGGTGGCGTGGCAGTTAGGCACCGAAAGAATGCTACAGCTGAACAAAACATTTCAACTAATAAAGTCGGATTGGCTCACATGTATGGTAGATGTCAGTCATTCGAAGTACGCAGACAAAAAGAGAAGAAATCACTACTTACAGGGCTGCGGTAAATTCTTCGACAACCCACTACCGTTTTCACCCATCTTGGAGCTCATCAGGTAACCAAAGTTGTAAATGCGCGTGACCTGATCGATCATGGTAGTATTCTAACAGGAAGACTACTTGCCAGACATCTTTTCATTGCTACTCAGCAGATAGACAATCGTCAAATCAGCCTAAATACGGATAGAATTCCCACTCACATATCAGTCACTATTAACACATTCATTGTGTTCGAATTCCGTTCGCTGGGTACCGTGTTCCAATGTGTTACGGATTCGCCTGAGTCTAGGACAACTGCTTGGGGGACTGCTGCCGACGTCTTCCATCTTTGACCTGCACTGTATTGTAACATAAATCACGGAGAAGCCCAAAACCCAGCAATGTATCGGGATCCACGTTCCTTTGTGGATATTGGTGACCCTATCACCTCTCCAGCGATATTCCTATTTGCCTGCAACCGGTGATTTCCACTTACACCCTTTTGTGGTGACCTCTTCACGTGGTCGCGGTCCCCTCATAACCCAAATTTGCATTTGACTAAAGAGTTGAAAGGGCGCATACATTCTAGCACGCCAGTTGCAGTCAGACCGCCGTTCTGGCTAGCAGTCTAAAAACAAACAGAAGCGCATGATTTTTCCCTGCGCCAAACAACAACCAGGTATGAGTTAATTACTTAAATGTAGATAGTATGATACCATACGTAAACCTTGAAATACAGGTGTAAGATGAATTCTTACATGCCACCGGCTCCCACCGATCAGAAAAGCATAACTGCGAAATGTTCGAAGGTGAAATCGTTAAATGAAATACGCTGTTTAGTTCGTATCCGTATTGGATATGACGGACGCTACGGATGAAATACCTTGAGTTACGGTCGATATGTATGAAAGTGCCTTCACCTGTGAACTAACACATTCCACGGTAAAAAATTTCAGGACAGCCCTATTCTAGCCCGCGTGAAACGGACGCATTTTGTGGCCAATCTGACTCACATTAAATTTGTTCATAATAAATTATTTTTACTTTTCTGGGGAATTGTTGAGGATATTTTGACTGGCAGTCCTTTATTGCGCTTTCAGCACAGCGACCAACTCAATGTTGGCGTCATAAATGTTGGCACCCTAATATAACTCAATAGCATACGCCGTGTTGTCTCAATCGGATCGAGATCGTGTTTATAAAAAGGCTAACTTGTCAAAGTTGTTGGAGTGTTTTCACTGTTCTTTATTGCTAACTCACGAATTTCGTCCGCTCAGAATTTTTCTAATCCAAGTAAGCTTCTACCAAACCCAGCAAAACAGTGTTTGCTAATACTGTCATCATGAAGCACATTGACGAAATGTCCTATGTACAACACATTAGATTGGTATGTATCTTCTGTCACCCAGATTCAATTATAGGGCCATATCGTCAGTAGTGAATTAATGAAGCCCCATATGGTCACAGCAGACATGGGACCAGGATACGCATGATATCTAAATACAAGAAACCCTTCTCACTCGGTAATCAAATAGTCAACACTGAACAACTTCGTATGTTGTGATACTGAGATATTTAATATTGTCATGGGGAAACAAAATAGTGGAGTAGTTAAACAAGATAGCGCAAGGTTTTAAGCTTCTCATATTAGTAAAAGATTGGCTCTGCTACGTCTTGTGTGTCTATTAGACTCCCAAATCAGAGCATTCGTCTGCATCCGATTGAGGTGTCACGGAACGCACCGATAAAACGGGTGCTATGAAGTGTATCTACCCACGATTCCAGAGCCGCGCTAGTCGCTACTCTGAGTCGGGAATAAGTGGTTACTAAACTGTAAGTCGCAGATAAAAACATAGTGGTCATTAATAAAGTTTTCGAGGCTGAATGGATACAAAGCATCATGGATATACATTTCGATCAAGCAGCACCATAGCTGGTCCAATAATCGTGTCATATTTATGTTCTACCATCCGGAGTTCTCCAGTTACTTGAGTTTCTTGTTACTTTTCAATGGAATCCGTAGTCTGCTGAATAAGAATAATGCAATTTAATCCACTGTAAATGAAGGCCGTGTGCAAAAACATGGTTTGTCTGGGGGTTTTTGACGGGCTCCTAATGTGTTGATCCGGTTATGCAAGACTTATCGGCTGGTTTGGTATAGTGCACTTTCATAACTTCTATAATCGTCTGCCCGGTCACTTTCAATTCTGAAGCTACTCTGCCTATAATTATTTGGATAGCTATCACCCGAACAGGAGTGAGTAAACCTTTAAAACGATTTGCTCTCAATTTTTCAGAATTTTGTTCCTGTTTCTTCTATGATCATTATTTTTCTATTGCCGGAGAAACTGTGTAAAAGTAGCCTTTGAGTTGAGTGATCCTTGTATGGCTATCGTGGTTGTATTTCCTGAGAACGTGGTTACTCAATCTATAATTGCGCATCAACGAGATGTCAGTGTTCTTTACTGTTGTGGCTGTCAAAGATGCAACATACCGACAACGATGATATTGGAAAGTATGGTTTACGAGGTCCTATCGATTTAGGTGAGACACTATATTCCGGAAGTAAGCAAAACCAGTCGCTTAGCTTCGTGGAATGTTTTATTGATTCGCAACTTCATAGGAACCTGAAACCTCTTGTTTAGCGGTTCCACCGGCTGTATTTCTACTGTGTGGTTGTTGCTGACCTTTTATGCCCTTAACCGGTTTTCATGAAACATCGGAACCACTTCCTACAACGAAGATTTACGTTAATTTGTTTTCACCTCACGCGTTTGATCAATCCTCTCAATGCCTTTGTGATTCCTGTTAGTCCATATCAAACAGAGGAAGAACAGGACTCGAGTTCTGTTGTTGTTAGAACTCATTAGCCATGTCATACGCATAAAGCGTTGTACACTTCATGAAATTCGGCAACTATACGGTTTTCGGGTCTCAGGGGAATCAGAGAAACCAAAAAACAATGTTCGCTAGTTATGAACACCGCTTTGGCTGTGCAAAGATCCCTCATCTCATATTGTGTGCCGTGATACTTTCTTTCTTTAGCAAAAGTGTATAACCTAAGTTGACACGCATTCGACTTCAGTGCATGGCTTTCCTATCTCTTCTGACTACCGATAAATATGGCTGAAAGTATTGTAACTTAAATTTACCGACTAATAAGCCCAGAAAAATTCGAACGTGGTGCGGCATCTGTTTGCTTGACGTAAAGAATGTAAAATTCCTGTCTGCTTGATGATGAGGCTATCTAATGTTCGGCGCACTCTTCTGCAGCTTGCTGTTTGCCATTAACAATCGAAAAGATAGCAATTTTTTTCTCTAATAGTTGCATGGCAGTTTTGGTTGACGAAAACCATGTGGGTGTATTCCGTGCACAGCTTTCCTAATCGAGAGATTCCCAACCCCTTGGAGAGAAGACTGGGACCGGTGAAATTCGCGCTGTCTCTTGGGGTTAGGAAGTTCCCCCGCAGAACTCCGGAGGACGTGGATAAAGGAAAAA